ATCCAATAGAAGAAATTATACTGGATAAGTATCATTTCCCTAGGGATTTTATTAAAAAGGTACTATAAGAAATTATAGTAAAGATTGATTATATACATGTATCAGTATAATTATTAATTGTTTTTACAGTTGTCAGAGTTAAGTGGAGTTCCTACTGAGTATATCTCTTATTCAGAGGTTATAATCGTTGAAGTATACACATATTAATATTCTCTCTGATTCTATTAGGGTAAATCATTTCCAGTTGGGATATCTTGTCTTGATATTGAGAATAAGTTGAAATGGTATTCCATCACTTCAGACAGTCCATACTCATCAGGACTATATAATGATGGATATGTCATATATTACAAGTACTAATGAACACACACACATTATGTATACACACACACTTACATACACCTCTTACTGTTTATAATTATTTAGAGACAATAGAGAGACAATGAAAGAGTTAACAGATAAAGAGAGATCAGAAATACAAAAGACAGAGGAAAAAAGACAGAGAAAAAAGAAAGAAGAAATTAAAAAAGACATGTGTTTAGTAAGAGTGAGACAGACTAAGTATTTACTGTTTACTTACTTTATTTTTATAGATCATATTATATTGTAATCATCCTGTTAGTGGTAAATTAAAGAAGTCATTCCTTGAAGTACATAAAGATGAACTACTACCCACAGTGCTGGATAAAGCTTATGAGGTTTATTTTAAGTTAATTTATATCTATTTATTCTTTTATTTCTTTTTCAGTTAATGAAATTAGCTCCTCATATTCCTATTGAGAGATGTCGTTTAGTTAAATATGATTATGAGTGTCATGAAATGGAACAGTCCTTAGATTGTAACGAGGTACACAATGTAAATTTTATCTATTCTATTGTTATAATTATTTTATTATTAAATGTAGTTTCAACATCTAACTATTGGACAGATTATGGATTTAGTTGGATGTTATAGTTTATTCTTATTCTTAGAAACTCGTAAAGAAAATGAAATCTTTGAAAAATACAATGCTGGAAGTGGGTGTGGTTTGTTACCTATAATTACATCATAAATAATAGAGTAAATGAAAGGAAACTTTTTGCGTGGGTCCAGCAATAATTTCATTTCATTGTTGTTGCTAAGCAAAAAAATTGCTGACTAGGTGGTTTGTTACTTTTTGACCACAAAATTCTTGATTTTTTTCATT